GAAAAGAAAGACTGAGCTTACCACTCACAGGACCTCACTAAAGGGACTACTAACAGATATACTCAGGAAACTGAATCCAGAAGGAAGGAGTGAGATAGAAGAAGCTGTGATAAGCACACAAACCAGTAAACACGGGGAAATCTAAACAACATGGATGGTATAAACCAATAACAACAATGACTCATCCAGGTAATATGGACAACACGGTAGAACCAAAACACTAGTCAAAGACAACATGTAAGGTGAAGGTGTTTGCTTTATTCGGGACAGTAGAAATACTAGCCTTAGACTTTACAACTTCAGAACACATGTTAAAATTTAAAAGGATTACGACTATTAGAAGTAAAATGTGTAAATCCCAAAACAGTAGAGAAGGAAAAAACGAGTGATAAGGAAAATTCAGCCAATACCAAATAAGATGGAAAAGGAAAAAGAAAAAAGAAAAAGTAGAGCAAATAATAGAAATTACAAAATAAAATGGAAGGAAAAATAAATAAATAAAGTGGTAGGGGGAAAAATATCCAAACATGTCAACCACAATAAATGGAAACAGACTAAATTTGACAGTTAAAAGGTAAGGATTTTCATTTTGGAATATTAAAGATCCATATATATGCTATTTGATAAGAAACACACTTAAAACACGACCACGAAAGAGTGAAAATAAAAGGTTGGAAAAGATTTACCAACAAATAGTAATCAGAAGAAAACTGTCATGACTGTTTTAATATCTGGTAAAATAGACCAAAAAAGGCATTCACGGGGATAAAAGAGTTATTACATAATAACAAAGAGGACAGCTGACCAGGGAGATATGACAAATCTGTACTGCTGATGTGTGTGCCAGGAGACATGTACATAATAACATAATTCATAGTATTAGCACTTGGGCATCCAAGGTGTCTGCTGTTGTCTCTTGTGCTCTGTTCCACCAGGAATTCTGGGTGAATGTGTACTCAGAAATCCCTGGGTCCCTGGCTGTAACACCTTAACAGCACCACAACCCTGGCTACCTTTAGCCCTAACACACTCTTCTAGGCTCCCATCATAGTCTTCATAGACAAGATCACTCTGGTAAGCCACTCTGACTTGAGACTATTTAGAATTTATTTCTGCATTCTCAGCAGCTACCATAATGTTTGTCAGAGAAAGGCACTCAGTAAATGTCTGCTGAATTAACAACATTTTATATAGCCATTAAAATTCTAATTTTGAAGACTATGAAAATGCTTATAATACACATTTCGATCAAAAAAGCATAATATAAAACTGTAGATGTACTTTGATGACAAATATGTAAAAGTTATATATGTAGGTGGACACAAAATAGAAGAGAATGAGGAAAAATGGAAATAAATTTGTTAGGTAAGGTAGATGGTGACTTTTTAATTACTTATTGGTTTTTATTACTGCTATTAAATTACCATATGTATAATTTTGAAAAAGAAATTTTAAAAAAATTGCTATACAACTTTAGCTATCTAAGAAAGTAATCCCTGAAAGATGTCATGGGCCAACAGAGATGTTTTCTGGGCCATGGAAATATTTACTCCTAGGGCCAAGTGCTTCTAGCAATCAAGAAGCTTTCGTGTTAGCACACAGTGATGCTCTGTGGACATACAGCGTGCTGAGAAGCAAAAAGGAATGTTATGAGAATTGACTCAGCGGGTGTAGCTCAATGCCATTTCTCTGTTTCTAGGAAGCCCCAAAGAGTCCATCAATTATCCAGAGTTTTACACAGCAATCTTTCCCTTCACATCTACCCTACTTCCCCTGAGAAAAGGTTCTCTTGTGCTCCTGTGGACAGAAAATCAAGTAAATTAAAGAGTATTCTTTGCCCAGGTTGTGGCCTACATATACTATTTGCAATTAAAAGGAATCAGGGCTCCTTGAAGAAATGGCTGATTCCAGATCTGGGGCGAGAAAGATACAAGATGAGCCTGGAACATCTTGTAATACCAGAAAGAAAGTTATCAAAGACTACTAGGGTCACATCAACAAGGTGCAGGAACCAACTTAAAGTGGCCTCCACTGGTCAATTATCAATAAGAATAACATCTGTGATGAGTTGACACACATCAAATGTGTTTAAATTCATAATATATTTTAAAGAAAAAATACTCAGTGCTCACTTTTGCAAGATGGTAGGGAAAGAATTCATCATTTTGAAAAGTGGAAAATGAAGAGAAAGAAGCAAGGATGGCCTGCCTTTCCTAGACTAAGTGTGCCTCATTGTTACCAAATAGTCCAAGAGAGGAAATTTTTCAACCTAGAAGTATTTCAGCTAATAAAAGAAGAAATGATAGAAATAGAATATCACCACTTCATACTTCCTAACAAATTAATGGATGTATGTGTGATCCACAACGGCTGCTAACATCACAAAAAGAGAGACAACCGACCAATATCTGTTTCCTGATAAAAGTATACCACCACCTATGAAGTATTCTTGCCAAAAAGATTGAATATGCGTTTGTACATCTAGCTACCAGTTTATGGGCGACAGGGCAGAGGAGTGGGGGGAAAGAGAGGAATACGGTAATTGTCACTATGGGTTGCAATCAGTCAAATCTAGATAGTAAGAAACTCTTCCTAACAAACCATCTGGGCTTCCACAAACACATCTCAAGGAAGTAATTAATCAATGAAGAGGGCACCTACAGGTTAGAAATGAGTTGAGACAAATCAATCAATTGCAATGTATGAACCTTCTTTGGATATTGATTCGAATGAACTGCAAAACAAAACATGGGGCAATCAGTTAAATCTGAACCCTGACTGGTTATCTATTGATATTAGTGATAATTCTATTAGGTGTGGAGATGGTATTTTCGCCACGTTTTCATCTTCTTATCTTCTTAAGAGACATATTGAACATTTTCAGATGAAATATGTCTGGGATTTGCTTCAAAACGATCTGGGGTTGAGGGACAATGGATAGGGATATAAAGGAAGTAAAACTGACCATGATTTGATAACTGTTGAAGCTGGTGGTGGGTACACTGGGGTTTGTTACATTATTCTCTCTACTTCTGTATGTATGTTTGAAATTTTCAATAATGGAAAGTCTAAATAAAACATGAAGAAAAAAAATAAAGGAGGCTTATTCTCATGGTTGACACTTGAAAAAAAAATAACGAATGTCAAGGAAACAATGGGGCTCTTACCTTTTCATTAACTGGAGAAAAATTCTTCTTGGTAATCGGTACACAAAGGTATCGAGGACGATCTTAAGGTAATTGAGGGATACGTAGCCACTGTTGCAGATGTCCCCTGCACTGAGCGCCTTCTCCACCTTCTCATAGGACTTCAAAAGCTGAGAGGGATTAGAATTAGAGCGTTGCATTCATGAACATCAACTTCATGGAGCTATCCAGCCACTTTATTTTTTACCAAAACTCCTTCACATTTTCCTCTCCAAAAATTGATCAAAAAGGTTACCATGGCATGTACTGAACTTCAGATGTTTAATTGATGAGCTCACTACAAAACACTATTCCCAGTCACAGACAGTCAACTGACAAGGCAGCCAAGTTTCTTGGGGGAAAAACAGCACATATAATAGCTCTACCTCAAATTTCGGAGCTAAAAATACTTGGTGGATCTGCCAGTTTGATACATCTTTCTTAATATACTTTCAAGCCATTCCTACTGTGAGCCCACGCTATGCTTCTCCTGATTAAATCAGAACAATCAAACAACAAAGCTGGCAGCATTGTATTAAAAAACAGAAGCAGCTTTTACACCAAGAAAAATTAGTAATCTAAAGAGCGCATAAACATAGTATACACTGGACATTTCTTTAATCATTTTTTTTTTCTTTTAATGAGAAATTACAAAGAACTTGGCTGAATGAGCTTTGCTTGGGGACTTTGAAAGTGCTGCAAAGTAGGTTAACCACTGGTTTTCATATGACTCATAAAAATACTGTGGAGATTGGTTTTACTTCTAAAGGTTTCCCTGCTGTTTGTTACTGAGTAATAACCATATTCTCCAATATTTTCAACCCTCCCCGCTTTCTTTGAATTCAATGTTTCCTGGTTACTGGGGTAAGAACAAAATAACCACCAACTTGGTGTCAAAGGTGACAAAAAATAAAGGCAGCTGGAACATATAAATATATGCACCAGAGTCTCTACTCACTAAAGGAGAAAGAACAGATTCATTCACTTTTCCTTACGGTGCACAGGAATATTAGAAATTGAAGCAGAAATTCTTAAAAAAAAAAAAAAAAAAAACAGAAAAATCACAGAATTGTATAAAATTAACCCCAAATGTGACTAAATTTGCCCATCTGTCTTTCAGGGAAGTGGGATGCATTTGAGACCATGACCGGGGGAAGACACCCATGGAGGGAAATCCCAGCCAGAGCCGGAGTAGGGTCTCCGTGTATTTATCGTTGTTGTGGTTAGTTGCCGTCCAGTCGATCCTGACTCATGGCGACTCCATGTGTTTTGAGTAGGATTCTCATGGCTGTCGCCTTTTGGAAGCAGATCGCCAGGCCTGTCTCCCGAGCGAGGCACCCCTGGGTGGGTTCGAACTTCCAACATTTAGGCTAGTAGATAAGCCCTTAACCATTAATTTGTGCCACTCAGGGACTTCCTGTGTATTTATCAGATTAATGTAATCCATTTTTTAACTCTGGTCTCCAATAGGGTTCTTTTGTTTTGTTTTCTCAAGAGAGTGTTTCTGACACGATCAAGAGCTTTTAGACAAAGATCAGGGAATGAAGCAGAAAGAGTATCTATGTGACACGTATAACCTTTGAGGAATTGTCATGTACTGTTTACAAAGGAAGTATAAGCCTTGGTTTAAAAAAAAAAATGCAAGCAATTCAGCAAAGTATAAAAAAGGAAGTAAGATTACTAGAAGTCTCATCATCCACAGTTTTGTACACAGTTTTTCAAAAACTGTCAACATGATCATGCAAACATACAATTTTACAAAAATGGTATCATACTACACTTTCAGGTTTAACAAATGCTTTTTTCATTTACCAATATGTCATGGACATTTTTCCATAAGAATTAGTATATATCTACATCATTCTTTTAAATGATATGGCATTTCATCATACTATTGATGGACAAGCAAAGAGTATGCCCCTTTCTCCATGTTTATACATTTAATTTTTATAAATGTTTCCCTGATCCCCATATAAATGATGTTCCTCTTGTTACTCCTTTTCTGTCACAGCACTCAAAAAATTTTGTATTTATGAATGTGTTTACTTGCCTAACATTTCTCTCCCTGATGTGAGCTCACGTAATCTCCATGAGAGCAGAGACTGTGTCTGTTTTGTTCACAACTGGACCAACAAGCAACAACACGATAAACAGAAAAGATTGAAGTTGTCAAGGGTTTCATTTTACTTGGATCCACAATCAACGTACAAGGAAGCAGAGGTCAAGAAATCAAACAACGTATTGCATTGGACAAATCTGGTGCAAAAGACCCCT